CAACAACAACAACAACAACAACAACAGTATTTCTGCCCCCTTTGGTGTTAATGGTGTTAGACAGGGTGGGATATTGTCTCCACTTTTGTTTAATGTATATATTGATGATCTTTCAGCTAAGAGTGTGTAACACTGGATGTTTGCTGGGTGAAACACTGGTGAATCACCTGATGTCTGCAGATGGTTGTTTTTAGTCCTAATAGTGCTGGTTTACAGCAGCTCCCTAATATCTGAACTGAATATGGTGTGAAATATGACATAAAGTACAATGCTGCTAAAAAGTGCTATTTTGATATGTAGACCCAAGCAGGACAAAAGGCTAAATTTCATTATGTTCAAATTATCCAACACTTTTATTGAAGTTTTTTAAAAGGTGAAATACCTTGGTCATTTTATTAATGATCAACTGAACGATGATGTAAGCTTTATGTGCAGGCAAACACGGTTGCACAAAAGTTTAGTTTTTTTGTTCAGTTTCAGTAAAAGTGGCTTTGTTTAAAGTGCCTGTGTGTCCTTCAAATACAAAAAGTCAAAGTAAGCATATTTATTCTTTAAAAAAATTGGCATAGTACACATGATTTTACCCATTTTGTCTCATAACCGGCCTTTTTTCTTTTAAAATTGGCTCAGCCAAAGTGAAACAGGAAGTGACATCAAAGGGGAACTCGTTAATAAAATAAACTCTGGTCTCGGTTTATTAAAACTAAATTATTTAAACTTTAACTCTTCTTCTTCTCTTTGATAGTGACTAAAATAATCTAAACAAACATCAGATTCTTCTCTACAGTCTGTGTTGTTAGCTGTTGTAACAACGCTCTATTTACATGCTGACATTCCCCTATGACATCACTTCCTGTTTCTTTACATGCAAATGTCTCAACAACTGTTCATCTGCGTGGCATGAAATTTGTTTTGCAACATGTTAATAATGTTCTCTTTGCAAAAATGCATTCATGTTTGTTACAAAACTTTGATGTCACAGGCACAGCTTTCTGCACACTGCCTCCTTGTGGGCATCTTGTAAGGAACACAGCATGCAGAAGCTGCATGTTGCTGATGCAATGAGAAATTTCCTCAGGATMGAGGGGCAAGAAGTGCCAGTCAAATGTTTGCAGCCGTGGGTGTTTCCACGTTTAAAGCGCTGTTAAGACAGTTGATGTTCAGTTTTAAAGAACGACTGGAATGGATCTGGTAACAGTATAATTTCAGTGCTCAGATCCAGCAGTGAGTAGTTATTGATGCTTATCCAGCCTGAGAACACAC